CAGAGAGAAGTGATAAAAAAAATGCTTAAATGGTTAGAAAATTGACATACAGAAGATGAGATTTTCCTCTCTGGTAACACACAAGTGACCAATAAACTCAGCCATGGTATTACAAATCATGGTAGAAACATAGCCTGCCAAATAAGTAAAGGTCTACAAAGACAATTAGATATCTCCTACGTTCTTGTTAGTCCAGGTACATAGGTACATGCAGTATGGAAGCGGAGCTCATGATCCAGCCCAGAGTTACTCTGGGTCCGAGCAGGCACTGCTAGGGCTAAGGACACTTGGCTTTGTTGAGCTGTCTGTCAAGCACCAGCCTAATTTTATCTTGTTACAGAAGAAAGTTCCAAAACTACACTGTAGGCATTAGCTCCAGGGATTTCACACATGAAATCTTGTAGGTGCTGTAAGTCTATTAAATCTTGTGGCTGTTTAGATCAGAATTACTAATACCAAAAATAAAATTTTTTAATATAACAATTGAATATACGATGGACTGCTAGGAGAAGAAACAAATTTTCCTGGAGAGGGTGAAGCTAGGCTGCTCTTTGGAGGCAAGTATTCTGAGGCTTCATCTGACATACTTTGGACATGTTGCAAGGAGGGACCAGTCCTTGGAGAGGGACATTATGCTTGGGAGGGTGGAGGGACAGTGCAGGAGAGGAAGATGCTTGACTAGATGGATTGATTCAGTGACTAGGGTAATGGGGGTAGGTGTGTTGGAGACAGTGAGATTGGCACAGGATAGAGCAGGATTTAGGGCTGTTGTATATAGGGTTGCTATGAGTCACAGGTGACTCAAGGGCACATAACAATACTAATAGTATCAATGAACTAACAAAAAGCCCTTGTCTTTTTGAAAGAAAGGTGTTTTGTATATAGACTAACCTGTGATGTGTACACTGTCTAACTCACATTCAAAAATGTGTGTGTGTGTGTGTGTGTGTATCATTAAGAAAATCTAGTGCTGTGGGAAGTCTTTTTCCCCCCTTTTATAGAAAATTAAAATATTTTAAGCACACAGATAAGCACAGGAATAATGTAATGGAGATCACTGTATTCACAATCCAGATTTAATTGATATTAATATTTAACCACGCTCACATCAAAGCTTTCTAATTTCTAAGAAATGAAATTTTACAAATATAATAAAAACTCTCCATCATCTCTTCATCATCTCTCCCAAGAGAAAACCAGTCTCTTGGAGTTGGTCCATAGCTCCACCTCCCATGTTGTAATGTGGGGATATTCACTAAGAAACCGGATGCTGTTGGTTGTTCTCAACTTCTGGCAGCCCCATGTGTGCAGAGTAGTACTCCATAGGGTCTTTCAGAAGTAGATCACTATCCTTTTCTTTCGAGGTACCTCTGGGTATATTTGAACCAGCAACCTTCAGTTAGTAAGCAAGTGCTTACCCATTTGTGCCACTGCATATTCGCTCTATATATGCATGTCCAATATAGAAGCACTTAACGCCCCTACCTTCACCTCCCCTGCAGCATGCTGTCCCTCTAGACTTCTCCCAAAGAGCAGCAACTCGGTCCACTCATATCAGCCAGAAACTTAGAGATTTATTAAGTCTTTTGCTCACATTTTCCTATACAAAGCATCAGAAAGTCCTTGGACTGCACTTCTGAAATGTATTTCAAGCCTCTGGTTTTTTTCTGTGATTGCTGCTAGTAATATATTCTGAGCTACCATTCTGTCCCAAGTGGATTGATACAATAGTCTTCCCCTTGACCTGTTTCCCTTATTGTTCCTGCAAACTTTATTCTTACCAAGATAAGGAAATCTTGTCAATTTGTAAACTATATCCTGTCTTACACTTAAGGCTTAGTGGTAAAGAGCTGTACTACCAACACAAAGATAGAGGTTCGAATCCACTCGCCAGTCTATGGGGGAATGATGGGCAGTCTCTTCCTATGCACTTTACTGCCTCTGAAAACCCTCTGGAGGGTCAGCTATGAGTCAGTTCTGACTTAACAATATGCAACAACAAAAACTTCTCAAGGCACTTAAAACCCAAGTGTCCTCCCCTGGCTTACACGATCTGGGCCTTATATGCCTCTTCACTCTCATTGTGCCCCACTTGCCTTCTCCTAGCATATTATACCCCCTGCCCCCCGCCCCCGCTTTCTCTCTGTCTTGTGAGCACAGCAAAGAATGTTTTATCTTTTTTTTTTTTAAGAAAATGTTCTATGTTAAGATTTTTATACCAATTGGTCTTTTTCCTTGGAATGTTCTCTATCTCCTTCTCTCATATCTGTCTTTACCCAAGACTATAATTTCCCTAAACACTGTAATATTTGCTTCATATTCACTGCTAAGACAGGTAACTGTGTATTGATATCCCCCCCATAGTAGACAATGTGTGAATATTTTTCTGAATGAATTAATGAATATATGACAAAAACAGCTGAAGATCAATAGTAATAATAGCTTTAATGTAATACATATTTCTTCTTGGCCTTTTGGCTAAGGTCAGTGTAGTATCCGTTCTTATCAGGTTAATTTATTTAATGCATTCTAAGTACTCAGTTGATCTTTCCATTAGTTATTTTCTTAAATGCTATAACCAACCTATGAGGTTAAGTATAATTAATAGTATTTTATAATTGAGGACAATTAAGACTTAGAGAAGGTGAATAGCTTTCTCAGGATTACATGGTCACCATGTATGTACTTAGGAGTTGAACCTGGGTGGCTTGGCAATAAAAGCTGCACATTGAAACCATGATATGATACTACCTTCAGAAAATATGTGTCAGAGCAAACACTTATACAATACAAATGCCATAATTTTAGTTGTAAATTGGTATTTATCTCTCCACATGTTTTAATTGGTGCCTAGGCCCTACTCACAACAAGCTATGGCTGACTCTGAGAAGAATGGAAATCCCAGAACATTTGATTATGCTTATGTGAAACCTATACTTGGACCAAGAGGCAGTCATCAGAACACAGCAGGGAGACACTACTACATGGTTCAAAATTAAGAAGTGGGTCTGTCAGAGATGTATTTTTGTCTCCAAACCTTTTCAATCTGTATGCAGAACAGATCATCCAAGACTCTGGACTGTATGAGGAGGAATGTGGCATCAGAATTTGTGGAAGAGACATCAACAATCTGCGTTATACGGATGATACAACCCTGCTTGCTGAAACTGAGGAGGACCTGAAGTGCTTGCTGCAGAAGGTCAAGGACTGCAGTCTTCAATATGGATTGAAGCTCAATATCAAGAAAACAAAGATTCTCAACACTGGGCTAATTGGCAGCATCAGCATGGATGGTGAAGAGATTGAGATAGTTAACAGTTTTCGTTTACTTGGTTCCACAGTCAGTACACTTGGTAACAGCAGCCAGGAAATCAGGAGATGAATTGCATTGGGAAAGTCAACTGTGAAGGACCTCTCAAGAGTACTGAAAAGCAACAACATCAGGCTGGAGACCAGGGTGCGCCTGATCCAGGCTATAGTCTTCACAGTTACGTGCTATGCATCAGAGAGTTGGACAGGGAATAGGGATGATGGAAAGAGAATTGATGCCTTTGCACTGTAGTGCTGGAGAAGAGTGTTGAATATACCATGGACTGCTAGGAGAACAAACAGGTTTGTCCTGGAGAGTGTGAAGCCAGAATGCTCCTTGAAGTCAAGGATTCTGAAGCTTCATCTGACATACTTTGGGCATGTTTCAAGGAGGGACCGGTCCTTGGAGAGGGACATCATATTTGGGAGAGTGGAGGAACGGTGCAGGAGAGGAAGACCCTCGATTAGATGGATCGATTCTGTGATTGAAGTGGTGGGATTGACTATGTTTGGGACAGTGATGTTGGCACAGGATAGAACGGCATTTAGGGCTCTTGGACTTAGGGTCGCTATGAGTCACAAGTGACTCGATGGCACATAACAGCAACCACAAAACAACAACAGTCCCTACTGTTCTGGCTCTGGTAGATTATCAGTGGCTGGGGAAAGATTTCAAAATACAAAAGTCCTGAAATCTCAGAATGCTTCTGCTTATTCTTTTACTCTCTCAGGCAGTGTTGACAAAGAGGATTGAACCTAACAGTGAACTACCAAAAGAACAAACAAATCTGTCCAGGAGGAAGTCCAATCAGGGTGCTTCTGAAAAGCAAGGATGTTGAAACTTTATCGCACATGCTTTGAGCTTGTTGTCTGGAGGCACCTGTCCATGGGAAAAAAACGTCATACTGGGAAAAGTAGAGGGTCAGTGAAAGAGGACAGCCTTCAAGGAGAGAGGTTGACATGGTATCTCAGTGACTTCAGCAGTGGGCTTGCACGTGGAGATGGTATGATGGTAAAGGATAGGGCAAAATTTCAGTCTGTAGTTCATAAATTTTCTGTGAGTTGTTGTGGATTCATTGGTGCCAACAACAACAGGGACTAGTATTTTCTTAGTGAAACTTTGTTATTTTCATTTTTAATAAATTCCAGGTTTTCAGATATATACTTCCATTTACTATATCCTTTTCCAGTTTTGATATGTTCGTTTTGCTTTTTGAGGTAGTACTGATTCTGAGATGGTTCTGTTTCATCCATAATTCTGATCTATCCCCATGCATTTGTAGAAATATGCTACAGAGCTCGGTTCAAGGATATCCTTTCACTGAGAAGACATGTTAGGTCATGGTAACCATGTTGTCCTGGTTTAAGTAACTAGGAATGGTTGTATTTTTCTTTGTGAATGTCCTAGGGAACCAATTAAAGCTAGAACATATTGCTATTGGGTTTATGTACCACTGAGTCAGAATCAACTCATAGCTGCTCTTACAGCACGTTTTCAGAGGCAACAACTCACCCAGGAGGAGAATGCCGTCTTTCAACTGTGGAGCAGCTGGTGGATTCAAATCACATGCTTTTGGGTCAGAAGCACAATTCCTTACCATTCAGAAGCCTAAGCTAGGGTATAGCATATCTAAATCAACATTTCTTAAATTTATATTGAAATATATATATTTTTTTTAAATTTCTCACAGAAAGAATTTAATGGAAAACCTGACTCCCTCTTTTTCAATGATGGCCAGCGAAGAATTGACTTTGTTCTCGTGTATGAAGATGAAAGTAGAAAAGAGACGAATAAAAAGGGTACAAATGAAAAACAAAGGGTAAGTTTCTTATACCATCTTCCTTTAATTCCTTATGATATTAAGAAATGGAAAAAATAGTGCTGGTTTGTTGTTTTTTTTTTTTTTTTTTTTTATGTAAGCAATAAAATAAATGCTTGTTTGTTTGTTGTTTGTTATGTGCCGTCGAGTCGCCTGCGACTCATAGTGACCCTATGTACAACAGCCCTAAACTCCGCTCTGTCCTGTGCCAATCGCACTGTCTCTGACACTCCCATCCCAATTATCCCAGTCACTGAATCAATCCACCTCATAGAGGGCCTTCCTCTCCTGCGCCATCCCTCCACCCTCCCAAGCATGATGTCCTTCTCTAAGGATCGGTCTCTCCTCACTACATGTCCAAAGAAAGTTAGACGGAGCCTCAGAATCCTTGCCTCCAAGGAGCCACCCGGTTTAACCCTCTCCAGGACAAATCTATTTGTTTTCCTAGCAGTCCATGGTATTCTCAGTACTCTTCTCCAGCACCACACTCAAAGTCATCAATTCTCCTTCTATCCTCCTTGGTCATTGTCCAACTCTCTGATGCATAACAGGTGATTGCGAAGACCATGGCCTGTATCAGACGCACCTTAGTCTCCAGAGAGACACCACTGCTCTTCAGCACTTTGGAGAGGTCCCTAACAGCAGACTTTCCCATGGCAATGCGCCTTTTAATTTCCTGGCTGCTGGTGCCAAGACTGTTGACTACAGAGCCAAGCAAACTAAAGCTGTGTACAATCTCAATCTCTTCACCATCCATCCTGATGCTGCCAATTGGTCCAGTGGCGAGAATCTTTGTCTTCTTGACATTGAGCCTCAATCCATATTGTAGGCTGCAGTCCTTGACACTCTGCAGCAGGCGCTTCAGGTCCTCCTCAGTTTCAGCAAACAGGGTTGTGTCATCCGCATAACGCAGATTGTTGCTAAATCGTCCACCAATCCTGACCCCACATTTCTCCTCATAGAGCCCAGCCTCCCGGATAATCTGTTCTGCATATAGGTTGAAAAGGTATAGAGATAGGATGCATCCCTGGCGTACGCCCTTCCCAATTTTGAACCATGCAGTGTTCCCTTGCTCTGTTCTGACGACTGCCTCCTGGTCCAAGTATAAGTTTCACATTAGAACGATCAAGTGTTCTGGGATTCCCATTCTTCTCAGAGTCAGCCACAGTTTGTTATGATCTACACAGTCAAATGCCTTTGCATAGTCAATGAATTTTGCCAGATAACAGAAATGGCAAAATAAATGCTAGTGTTTGAAATATACCAACCATATTTTCAGATTTTCTCTGCTCATCATTTCCTCAAGGCATGCTAACTTTTTCTTTTATTTATTTGAAGCAGAGATTTCCTTAGGCATCCTTCAGTTTCATACTGAACAAAGTCTGTCTTTTAAGAACTTTGCATTGTGTAGAAGTTTTTTACATTAAAATCACATCTAACTGTTTGCACCTGAATGAGAAAGGAAGCGAATGATCAATCAGTAATTACCAACAAAGAAATGGTAATAACTAGCATTTAGTGGAGGCTCCTGCATAGGAATTTTGCATGGATTTTCTCACTTAATTTTCTAAGCAACACTATTAAGTAGGTCTGTTAAAAAACATTAATTCTCTGAGTCAGTTCTGACTCTTGGCAACGCTCTTTATGTCACAGTGGAAATGTTCTCCATAATTTTCAGTTTCTTACTCTTGTGAATTATGTCACCAGACCGTTTTTACTGAGGTTCCCTGAGTAGACCCAAACCTCCAGCCTTTGCTTCAGCAGGGGAGTTTGGTTTGTGCCACCTAAGTTGTTCTGATATATACAGGGTTGCTGTCAGTGGGAACCAACTCAATGACACCAAACACTGCCATCACCACAGCCACCACCTGTACTTCCTGTTATCATACCATTTCATGGATGACTGAGTTCACACTTAGAGCTGTTAAATGATTGTGTGAGGTCATGAACTTTACGCTAGGAAGTAGTAGAACCAGGATTCAAACTGTAGTCACCTATTAAATCTAGACCCTGTGTTCCTGATCTCTCGATTTTTCTGCCATCTACCTTTCCTCACCTTTCAAACTATTCCATCTTCCCTTTACTTTTATTTCAGATAAGAGCCTCCTTTAGTTAAGAGGGTCATGTAAAAACCAAGTATTAAAGCCACAGACCAGTGTTAAAACAATGTAGACTGAACTTTAGGTAATTTCATTACGCTAAAATAAGACTGGAAAAGAGATCATACATGAAATGTTACTGTTATTCAAATGTGGAGTAAAACTGAACATCATAGAATAGACAGGATTACCAGTCTGATAGAAATTGATGGAATGGCCTTGTTACTTTTTAAGCCTGGTAAATCTAGTTGAAATTACTCCAATGTCTCATCTTTCATCCAAGTAGCAGAAAAGCTTCTAGTATAATCAGTAACATCTGAGAAGTGCACATGCCTTAAACAATCATCTGTACAAGACCAAAAGGACAGCCTTTGCCCAGAGATACAGTTTAGAAGGCAGGAAACAAGGAAAAAGGGTCAAATGGACAAGGAAGACTTGAGGATGAAATGAGAAGAATGTTATTACAATGTGGAGGGTGTAATCATCACAAAACAAAATATATATCATTTGTTGGATATAAAACTGATTTGCTTTAGAAGCCTTCACTCCAATCACAATTAAAGACTTTCAAAAATTAAAGGACATCTTACTAATGGTGTCATAATTTCAATGGCTGGGTGTTTTGGTTTTTTCCTTGTTAGTACATGAATTAGTGGCTAACTTTACAATCAATGAACTCCTGAACTCGAAAATTTACTGCTGTCATATAAATTGTGACTTATAGCAAGGAAAATAACCATCCTTATCCTTAATGACAGGATGATGGTTAGGATGAAATAAAATAGTATATATAAGTATTGCATAAATATTGGGCAGGTTGGGCACATATTTGATAATAAATATGAACTCTGTATCCTTCCCTTTTATTTAGAATTGTCTTTAAGCAATGTGTGAAAAGTCATGATTCTCATTCAATTATATACTTTTATCACTAGAGTAAAATGGCTTACAGTATTTTCTGATTTTCCTGTGGACACTGAGATGTCTTCAGTGCAGTCATAGCCACCATCATCAAATATTCATTACACATCCATATGCCAGTGGAGCTGAGTTGAGCACTATATAAAGTAAGTTAAACAGATCTAATCCATTAAAGTATAAAGGAAACAGTTCTGGTTTTAGACAAGAGCTTTACTGCCATGGTGAAGGGCCCTAGAGCAGCTTACATTATTAATAAGTTCTGCATTTGCTTTAGACAGAAACATAGGTCCCAGGGTAGCTCTCCTAAATCAGCAGTTAAAAAAAAAATCATCATTAATTTCAGAAATCCTTGAACTCATATATTGATATACCATGATGTTGGTTTTTATAAGCCATGCTTTGAAGTATTTTGAGTCTGTATTTGTACATATTACTTAATTTAGATTCTTCCAAAATCAAAGCTCGGCTTTGGAATGACAATTTTATTAACCGGGAAACCATTTATGAATTCTGTCACAACCCCTGTCACCCTTGTCAGACCTTAGTCAAGATTAGGACAAGGCCAAAGGAAGGTAATTTTTTTATATCCTGCTTCTTTAAGAGAGAGAGAAAAAAAAAATATCTAAATTATATTGATTTGCTAAAGCAACATCAAGGTGGACCTTGCCAGGGGCTGATCTAAAGATTATTGTTGAGAACATTTTTAGGGAGACGCTAAAGAGAAAGAGATAAAATAAAATGATAGGGCCTCAAATGTAAAAGAAAAACAATAGAGAAGTAAACGGTTTCCCATGAGCAAAGGAGAAAATATTTTTCTAGCACAGTATCCAACTGGCATGTAACTTTGCCCCTTTGTTTTGCTGAGAGCAGTTTGGAAACTTCACACCTCCCTTTTAAAGGCATAAACCATTTACATTTGGATTTTACACATGGGAGTGATTATAATTTGTTTCAACAACAAACTCTCTACTGTGCTCTAAATCATGAATCACTGAATGTTTATGCTGCAAGGAACAGGAAAAACCAAGCTAAAAATGCTGAAATGGTTAAGAGGAAATAATTATTTTCTCACTTAAATAGTCCAGATACCAGCATAAAAAGAAATTAACATTCTGAGACCTGCTATAGTAGGAATAAACCTTGAAAATATAGTGTTATATATTGTGATATAAAATATTATATCATGGGCTGGGAAAGGAAGAAATGGGGATTTAATGCTTAATGGAATTTCTGTTTGGAGTGCTGAAGAAGTTTTACAAAGAGATAGATTTGTATAGTTTTTTGACAATGGTTAATGGTATTAGATTATACATTTAAAATAGAAATTTTATGTTGTATGCATTGTACCGCTATAAACAACAGCAATTTACTCTGGGGAGGGTTATTTCTGGGTTAGATGACTTGTTAGCTTCATAAGGTCTACATGAAGCAAGGTGGATTGTATCCCTCTGTCCTCAATATTGGCTGCTCTAAATTGTCTCACCATGGCCTTTAACTGGCAGCTATCCAAAAATGACTGGAACAGCACATCAGCAGAGAACTGCCAGAAGTCCAGGCTGAGTTTAGAAGGGGTTGTGGTACTAGGGATAGTGTAGCTGATGTTAGATGGATCTTA